TCAACAGCAATACAAGGCATTGGCACCAGCAACAGCAGAGACAACTTCTCTTCACTCCCCCTCTCCCCCTAAAGAGAAGGGTTCGATGGAGCCATATGATCAATGGTACTTGAGAAACATGCACTGACTAACACTGAGATGTAGCAAAATCAGCCATGGCATATAGATGGTTAAATCGAATGAATTAGTTTTAGGCTGGTATGGTATGGGATTGCAGATGCCAGACGAGCCTGGAAACTTAATTGGAAGCTTGACTTGGGATGTGATACCAAGTCTGTAACACAGAGGAAGAAATCACGGCAGATATGGCTTGGCGAGCGTTGACGAGGCTCGCGGAGGAAAGCAACGGCTCGGTGAGTGGTGACGAGGCTCACGAAGTAAAGCAATGGCTCGGTGAGCGGTGATGAGGCTCACGGAGTAAAGAAACTTGTTATGAAGTTTCAAAGATAGAGAAGCTGAGACATCAAGAAAGACCATATGGCATACAAAGATGAAAAAATAAAAAATTTGGAACAGTAGCAAAGAAGCATGTGAAGGCTAGGTGCGGTGAAAACACATATGAGAGGATGAACAAAAGATGGTGACTATACAAGATGAAGACCCATGATGGGTTAGAAATGAGGAGTGCCAACGACTCTCAATTTGGGAGAGGTTATCACAGGGGAACACAACAGAGCACAACAAATACACAAATAAGGTAGATGCATGAAGACAGGAATGACACGAACACAGCGACACAACACAAAAACCCAGGAGGGCACACAGAGCACCGGTAGGAAAAAAAATATGAGGCTAGAACACGGGTGAGCACAACACACGGGTCACCAGAAAAGTGGGCTCTGATGCCATGTCAAACAAAGTAGGGTAAATATTTAGTTATGCTCAGATACGCTCATATTTGCTCATATTATTATTCTTCTCCAATATGGAGGTATTTATACAAGTACAAAGATGTGTTAACCCTAAATAAAATAGGAAATATATCTAAATTACAATATGAAGTAAATCTCTATTACAATTGGACTAAATAATAATTGGTAAGTACCCAAAATTCTAATGAAATAAGGAACTAAAATCCTAACTAAGTAAAGACTCGCCAACATAATAAATAAATTTTGTGTGTATTATCGATTTTTTGTAAAAAAGCGTGTATTAAACATGAAAATACGTATTTATGTGTACAATACGAGTATTGTATGTTTGCTTTTAAAAAAAATATGTATTTTACCGAGTGTTTAAGACATGTATAGAAAACGGATGTATTATTGAAAAATACTTATTTACATGTATAATACGAGTATTAAAGGTTAAAATGCTAAATTCTTTATACGGGCAATAACTCTGGAAAATTTAAAAATCAAAAGGGGACAATAGAGACTCGAGTAATGGCCTACTAGTACTGGATAATGCTCTAAACTACTATTATCGAAATTCGAAATTCGAAAATTGGCTAATTTCATTTATAAACAAAAGGATTCGAGGATATATAGAAATATTATAGAAACAAGGCTATACTATTTTCAAAACTAAATAAATAAAAAAGCATGAGTATAGCTGGACGGCTATATATATATAAAGGAACCGCCTAGCAATTAGGAGCCCACGTGTCAAAAAAGGTATAGCTGCGTGATTATACTATTTTTAAACACAACTAAATGAATAAACTAGAGTATAGCCGGGCGGTTATACTATTTATAGAAAGAAAAAAAAAAGAGAACCCTACTAGAGCCTAGGCGCCCACGTGTCAAAAACCGTATATCCGCAAGGCTATACTATTTTTAAAATTAAATAAATAAATAAATAAAACATGTGTATAGCCGCACGGCTATACTATATATATAAGAGGACCCGCCTAGCGCCTAAAAATTAGGAGTCCACGTGTCAAAAAGAGTATAGCCACACGGCGATACCATTTATATATATTAAAATAAAAAGAGGACCCACCTATCGCCTAGCAATTAGGTGCCCACGTGTCAAAAACAGTATCGCCGAACGGCTATACTATTTTAAAGAATAAATAAATGAAAAAACTTGAGTATAGCCGCACAGCTATACGATTTATAGAAAAAATAAGAAGAACCCGGCTAGCGCCTAGGTGACCACGTGTCAAAAACAATATGGCCGCAGGGCTATACTATTTTTAAAACGAAATAAATAAATAAAACCACGAGTATAGCCGCGCGGCTATACTCGCGATAGAAAAAATAAGAAGAACGGGGCTCGTGCCTAGGTGCCCACGTGCAAAAAGAAAACAGTATAGCCGCACGGCTAGACAATTTTAAAAAATAAATAAATAAAAGACCCAAGTATAGCTGCGCGGCGATATTATTTATTTAAAAAACCCGGCTAGAGCTTAGGCGCCCATGTGTCAAAAACAGTATAAGCCGGGCAGTTATACTATTTATAGAAAGAAAAAAAAAAAAGAGAACCCTACTAGAACCTAGGCGCCCACGTGTCAAAAACCGTATATCCGCAAGGCTATACTATTTTTAAAATTAAATAAATAAATAAATAAAACATGTGTATAGCCGCACGGCTATACTATATATATAAGAGGACCCGCCTAGCGCCTAAAAATTAGGAGTCCACGTGTCAAAAAGAGTATAGCCACACGGCGATACCATTTATATATATTAAAATAAAAAGAGGACCCACCTATCGCCTAGCAATTAGGTGCCCACGTGTCAAAAACAGTATCGCCGAACGGCTATACTATTTTAAAGAATAAATAAATGAAAAAACTTGAGTATAGCCGCACAGCTATACGATTTATAGAAAAAATAAGAAGAACCCGGCTAGCGCCTAGGTGACCACGTGTCAAAAACAATATGGCCGCAGGGCTATACTA